TTTTGATTTATCTATGACGCAGGAAATCCGCGGAATTCCAGAGCATCATCGTCCTATGATTGCTCCGTCATTATACGCTGCAAAGTTTGGCCATTTTGATTCTACAAGAACGTTTTTCACAGATGGATCTCTAATAGAGGAGTCCGCTGGTTTTGGTGTATTTAATGAATTTCATAGCGCCTCTCGAAAACTTGAAGCTCCTTGTTCTGTGTATGTGGCTGAACTGGCAGCAATTCACTACACTTTGGAAACTATTGCTTCACTTCTTCCACACCACTACTTTATTTTTACGGATAGTCTCAGTTCTGTCGAGGCTATCCGTTCCATGAGGCCGGTAAAGCACTTCTCGTATTTTCTCTTGAAAATACAAGAACTGCTTAGTGCTTTATCCGTGCGCTCTTTCATCATCACCTTCGCGTGGGTCCCTTCGCATTGCTCAATTTTGGGCAATGAGAAGGCGGATTCACTTGCGAAGGTGGGCGCTATGGAAGGCGACATTTATGATCGACAGATCGCCTATAGTGAATTTTTTTCTATTTATCGTCAGCAGTCGCTCGTTAGCTGGCAACATCAATGGAGTGAAGGGAGCTTGGGACGATGGCTACATTCAATTAGCCCTAAGGTGTCGAAGTTTGCATGGTTCAAAGGGTTGGACTTGAGTCGAGACTTCATACGCGTGATGTCTCGTCTCATGTCCAATCACTATTGTCTAAACGCTCACTTGTTCCGTGTGGGGTTGGGAGACAGCAATCTCTGTGAATGTGGACAAGGTTACCAGGACGCTGATCACATCCTTTGGTCTTGTGCGGAGTATCGTGGAGTCAGATCACATTTTTATGATTCCCTTCGGGCTCGAGGTAGACAACCTAATGTTCCAGTTCGGGATATTTTGGCTAGACGCGATCTGGAGTTTATGAAACTCATATATGTTTACTTTAAGGATATTAACCTTAGATTGTAAGTTTGATTAACCTTGTGTTTAGTTTGTATTTTGTACTTGTGGGGTTTTTTTTTTTCAATGTTTGTTACCAAGATGAATAGAAATAATTTCATGCTTTAGGATTAATTAAATAGTTGTATCGTAAACCACATTTCAAACCTCCTTCTTCCCTTTTTCCCATCCAAAAAATTGTAAATCTCCACTAATCTCGAGACAACCGCGAGTACTCGGTCCAGTTCCTTTAACTTTAAATTTAAGACAGTAATAATGTATAACGCAAAGGATAACTCGGCTCTGTAAAGTTTATTCGATTGAGCCTGTACAAATAAAGTTATTATAAAAAAAAAATAGCTACGATAAATTTATATATTTTAAGATATGTTAAGATATTTTAATTAAATTTATGTGTTGGCCCAATGTCAGCCGCCCTAAAGGTTTTACATTGGTCTATTTTTTAATTAATTTTAGTAAAATGAGCTTTCAATTTCAATCAACCATTTCCATGACAGTCGTAAATATATCATTGATGATGATTCACATGCTTAACATTGTTTTCCTTGCTAAAATGTGAACGTTGTTAGGTAGGGAACGAATTTTTTTGATTTTTTGTCCCAATGTCACCTCCGCTTACGGTATCACTGAAACACTAACCAAACAAAATCTTAGATTATCCCATTTAGTTTAAGGGTAGTGTCAAAATGTTCCCCCGAAATTACATTTGAACACTACCCTGAAATGAAAGGGGATAACTTAAGGCTTCGTTGGATGTGTGGCTCAGAGAAACTGATTTTTATTTTATTATCCTGAAATATTTTATTTGATGATGAAAATGTGTGTCAACCTGTTTGCCAATCGATTTAAATACATGCGATGTTTGTGTGACTTACACACCTACACACTTGCTAACGACTACGCCGGAGCTGTCCTCGTACGAAGCAATTAATTTTACTGATGTTACAATGAACAGCTAATATATAAAAAATCACCATTTTACCACATTCCATATAGTTGCAGAGAAAAATCAAAGCCTACTTCGTTCAAGTTTACACAGAAATCAATTTTACGAATGTTCCAGATCTTATGGCGGACTATCTGGTGACTACTCAGAGCCATTGAACAGCTAGTGTATCTATCATTATCATTTTATTTCATTTCACATAGTTGCAGAGCAAAATCAAGGCCTGCTTTGATCAAATTTACGCAGCGATAAATTTTACGGATTTTCCGTATTTTCTGGACCACCTGGTGATAACTCGAAGCCAATGACCAGCGAATATATAAAATATCACTATTTTACTACATTCCATTTAGTTGCAGGGAACGAGCAAGGCCTGCTTTGATAAAATTTACACATAAATCAATTTTACGGATGTTCCGGATCTTCTCACGGACCATCTGGTGACTTCTCAGAGCCATTGAACAGCTAATGTATCTAAAATCACCATTTTACTACACTCCACATAGTTGCAGAGTAAACTCAAGGCTTACTTTGATCAAATTTACACAGCAATAAATTTATCAGGTTTTCCGGATCTTCCAGCGGGTTATGTCGTGACCACTCGGAACAATTGAACCGCTAATATTACAAAAATCACCATTTTACTACATTTCACGTAGTTGCAGAGCAAAATCAAGGCCCACTTTAATCAAATTTACGCAGCAATACATTTTACGGATGTTCCGGATCTTTCGGCGAGCCACTTGGAGCCAGTGACCAGCTAATATATAAAAAATCATAATTTTACTACATTTCATACAGTTGCAATGAAAAATCAAGGCATACTTTGATGAAATTTACTTAGCGACCAATTTTACGGATGTTCCAGATCTTTCGGTGGGTCATCTGGTGACCATTTGGAGCCAATGACCAGCTTACATATCAAAAATCACCATTTTACAACATTTCTCATTGTTGCAGAGAAAAATCAAGGCCTACTTTGATCGAATTTATGTAGCACTAAATTTTACGGATGTTTCGGATCTTCCGGTGGATCATCTGGTGACCACTTGGAGCCATTGAAACGCTTATATATCTAAAATCATTAATTTACTACAATTCATATAGTTGTAGAGAATAATCAAGGCCTACTTTGATCAAAAATACATAATAATCCAGATTAAGGTTGATCCAGGTCATCGGAAGGCCTTCCGATGGACGCTCAGTATTTAGAACCAGGTTATGGGTTGATTTTGTTAAAATATTAATCAGCACTACCCATAGATGCCTGTTGCTGTGGATTTTCAGCACCACCTTGTTGTAGACGACTGGTACCTTTTCTCCCCCCGATGGCCTCTCGGAAACCCGGAATAAAACCGGAACCACTTGGCCAATCTGTTCCAATTTTTAGTAGACCAAAATTTCGAACATTTTTCTACTCACTGTGAAAATTTCAACCAATTTTATGGTTAAACAAAAAAGTTATACCTATGCAAACATTGCTATTCGTATACCTGTTCGTAAAAATAAAAACTGCACAAGCGCGTTAGGCCCTCCCCAGAAGTGAAGCAGGTGGTGTTCGTTTGAAACGCTAATAACTTTTCGGAGGTAACTCGGATTCACATCCGGTCTTCAGCCAAGATGTTCCCAATACTTCAAAGGCGCTACATTTTGTACACGAAGAAAATCGACCCACTACAGCGCCACCTTGAGCCGCGAATGTGAAAGTGGCTCGCTCCCCCATACATTTTGTCGATTTTCCCCATACAAACTTCAAGCCGTTTGAGCGAGGGGTTCCCGTGAACCAAATTTTGGCAGGGTGTTTCTGACCCCCAAAACTACCATTCCAGAGAGTAGCGTTTGAAATCCCAGATTTGACCTATTTTGAAACACCCAAGCAACCAAAAGTTCGACATTCCATGATAAAACCCACTTTCAAGTTCCATAAAGTTCAAATAAAGTTCCGACAGAACCTTCAAGTTCCATAAAGTTCGAATAAAGTTCTGACAGAACTTTCAAGTTTCATAAAGTTCAAATAAAGTTCCAACAGAACTTTCAAGTTCCATTAAGTTCAAATAAAGTTCCGACAGAACTTTCAAGTTCCATAAAGTTCGAGTGAAGTTCTGACAGAACTTTCAAGTTTCATAAAGTTCAAATAAAGTTCCAACAGAACTTTCAAGTCCCATAAAGTTCAAATAAAGTTCCAACAGAACTTTATTGCTGCGAAAGGATCTAAAGGATTCACAGGAGCAGCTTCAGGGTCCAAAAAGTACCCATTCATACTTTTAGCATTTTGAAGTTCAAAATAAATTCCTAAGATCACTTCTTAAGATCTCTAGACAAAGCTGCAAACATTCCCGCATCAAAGTTTCTAAGAAGTTCCATGGTAGCCCACATGAAACAATTCGCACAAGCCTTTGTTTGTAACAGTTTTTTATGTACATAATTCTAAAAGGTTCAAGTAAAGCATTCTCCTTATATTTATGCAATGCATCAATATTCAATCCGAATATAAAAAAAAATTAATAGAGAAATTTTTGTATTTGAACCTATGTATTTCGCGTGCGAGCTACGAGCGCTAACCACTGCGCCACGAGTGTCTTGAAATAAGAAGCGAGAAAACTCCAATTTGAAATTCATCGAGGTGTTGAGTTGCATGCTCAAGTCAGTCAGCCGACATCACTGATGGTACCTATTAGAGAGGGTCTAATATAAAAGAGAAGCGGATTCAACACAAACTGCCTTGGCAACCTATACCTAGGGGATTTCTAGCAACACTGTCAATGCAATCAAGATAGGCGCTGCTCGATTGGCTCTGGTTTTGACAGTTCGTTTGACTCACAACCAGCCAGACCCCTCCCCTCTTATACTAGACCCTCTCTAGTATCTAAAGTTACGTAAGAACCGGAGTGATTTAAGATAGAAGCGTAACTGTGCTTGTAAACAATAAATACGATCGCTAATTCCTCGCAAATAAAATCTTACAGTTCCAACCTAAAACGACAAACAGGTAAGGAAATTAATATCAGCTGGTAGTGATACATTTTGTTTGCGAGTGTGAACTTTTATTCACGAGAAATGTGCGATTTATTTTTTTGTTTACAATAACAGATGCGTCCTTTTCAAAAACAACTCAGGATATACCTGTCACGATCAAAACATCGGATCTTATATTTTTCAGTAAGCATCTGTGATTCCAACATAAAATGGATTTTTCAAAGAAAATAAAAAAAAACGGCCTTTTTTATTACCGTCGTAAAAAGATTCTTGAGAGATGGACCAAGGAAAACCGATTATTTCAGTCAGGTAAGTTAACTCTAGGTTAAATCTTGAAAAGGATAACTATATCCATTGTTTTTATAGAGCTTTGCAACATCAACCAACAACCATCGTCTACTGTGAAGGAGATAACTCCATCGGAAGGTAGGGATGTGGATGAAATTATAGACACTGAATGTACCGGTACACAGGAACCTGATCCCTATGAAAATTTCAACAAAAATGAACCCACAACGAACATTGCAGAGGTCGATTTAGCTATCTCTGGGCTAAATGGTGACCTCCTATCTACAGACGAACTTGATTCAATGAGTCTTGAAGAGAGCATCCGCTTTTGGGCTTTAAAAACAAATCAATCCCATCAATCAATCAATTTGATTATGGACATCATACGGAAAAAGACGGATGGGAAGCAATTGCCACGTTCCGCTCGATCATTGCTGAAAACTGCACGAAATGCTTCATCAAATATCGTAGACATTGGAGGTGGTCAATATTGGTATTATGGGATTCAAAAATGCCTTGCAGATTTTTTTCGGTAAGTAAAATTAAATGTTCGTTATTATTTTGATTATTATGATAATTTCATTATTATTTATTATTTTTTCCAGCAACATTGATCACCCCATTACCATTTCAATCAACGTGAACATCGATGGAATTCCTATTTACAAAAGCAGCAAAGCTCAGTTTTGGCCAATACTATTCAACATATTTGAACACCCGGAAGTTAAGCCAATGACCATTGCCATATTCCTTGGAACTTCAAAACCTGAAAGCCTGGACGAATTTTTGCGACCATTTGTTAACGAGCTAAAATATGTGTTAAACCATGGAGTTATTTTGAATGGTCACAAAATTAGTATTCGAATGAGATGCTTCATATGTGATTCACCTGCACGTGCCTTCATAAAAGGTATATCAGAAGTTATCATTTCATTATGGTCATGTCTAATAAAAATGTTTAACATTTTTTAGGAGTATATGGCTTTAATTCAAAAAACGGATGCCTAAAGTGCGTATGTGAAGGCGAATATTCCTATGAATCTCGCACTGTAATATTTACATCATTAAATTGCGCCAAACGAACTGACCAAGAGTTCCGAATGAATTCCTATAGTCGTCATCAAAAAACTGCAACGCCTCTGATTGATATCCCTAATCTGGATTTAATTCAAAACATTATCGTGGCTGATAGACTTCATCTCATTGATTTGGGCGTAATGAAACGATTATTGATTGGATGGAGGGATGGCAGCCTTGGATTCGCAGCTAAATTATCGTCTCTACAAATTAATGACATGTCTGCCATGCTTTGTAATATTCAGCTTCCATCTGAAATTCATCGCAAGTTCAGAGGCTTGGACTATCTTGCCCACTGGAAAGGAACTGAATTTAATAATTTCTTGCATTATGCCAGCATAGTTGTGTTAAAAAAACATCTTTCCTCGGAGGCTTATCAACATTTCCTTTTATTTTATTGCTCCATAACGATGCTCTCATCAGATTTATACAAATCAAACTGGCACGTAGCTAGAAAAATGTTGGAAAAGTTTATAATTGATTTCATGACGATCTACGGGCAACAGTATATCACGAGTAACATTCATAACCTTCAACATATTGTAGATGAGGTAGAGGCGTTCGGCTCATTAAGTACGATGGCAGCATATCCCTTTGAAAATGGTTTACAACGGCTGAAGCATTTGATACGCAGTGGATCTAAGACTTTGGAACAAGTAATAAATCGACTATCGGAATTAAATTCACATGATTATTACAAGACACATCAATCTTCAAAAAAATATCCTTCTATTACCATCTGCGGAGAATCTGTCCGCGCTGAATTAGAGGAATGGTTCGTTCTAAGCACGTCTCACAGGAATGCTTGGTTTCTGACTAAAACCAATCAAGTAGTACGGTTTGTCAACGCAATTCAAACTCCAACCCTAATTATTTACGGCAAAGTTGTGATAAGAAACAGAATTTTTTTTCAAGACCCTTTTACCTCATCTGTGTTACACATATTCTGTGGTAATATCAATAATTTGTCCGCGAATGAGTTCCTTTTTAGTTATGACGAAATCAAGTGCAAGTTAGTTGCAGTTCAAAGTGGCGATGAATTTGTATTTATACCTCTCCTACACACTCTAAAATAGAACAGATTGAACAAGTTTTGTTAACAATAAATCATATGTCATTTTTTTACTGTGTTTCATTGAATATTAAAATATTGAGCAAAAATCAGTACAGCATATCAGTATGAAATCAGCGTATTCCATTCAAATCGGAATTTCAATCAGATACGTCGGATATGTTGTCGTCTGATAAGTCATATTCTTCTAAAACGATGCTTTCATACGAAGAAACGTCCTTGGTGGAGGACATGTCGCTTGATGATACTGAGTCCATATCCTTTTCAGTGGAAGGTGCTTCATCGATAAATGTTGATGGTTCATGGGGTTCGGAGTTTTCTGTGGTCATGTGTTGGTGAACTTGAATTTCATTCGTATCTTGGATACAGTTCGCTTGAAGAGTATCATCTGAGTTTTGGTTGGCAGCTTGTCCTTTCATGTTATCCACGGTTTGTTCATCGCTCCTGTAGTCTGCTTTTCCTCGTTTAGTGTTCCTTTTTTTGACAACATGGCGTGAACTCCGACGTATTCCAGCAGATTGTAATCTTTTAGTAGCATTTTTCAACTTTTTCTTAAAAAAATTGGCCAATTTGTGCTGTGTGACAATTTCCGTTTCATCAGTTCCAATGTCCACAAAAACCTTCAGAAATCTTCGATGAATCATTACTGCAATTTTAGGACCCTTACGACTTGAGCCAGTCCAAGTGCACTGCACCTGGAACTCTTTGGTCATTATCAAATCCAGTAAACAAATCATACGGTCATCAGCACAATCGCCACTTACGTTCACGCGAAGCCATTTCATCTACAATTAGTAAAATTGAAAAAATTAAACTAGGATAATAGAACGACCAATGCAAATACTTACCAGATTTGATCTATATGACTCATTTTCAAGGCTTTTCTCAAAATCTTCAAATTTTCGGTAATCATTAATAGGTTCCAAGTTAAACGATAGGCCTGCTTCTGCTGATCCATCTTGACCATTACGACATCTTATGGCATCCATAATAAACTCCATTTGCGTTGACTGGTGGGCCAATCTTTTTTCCAGAGATGAAATTCGAACATCAATTATGGCGTCGGATTTTCGTTGCATGTCAATGAGCTGTTTCAAATAGTCCACACATTGTTCAATAGAGTTTTCAGATGCCGATTGCGGATTGCCAGGTTCAGGAAAATCTCTGTTGTTCTGATCAAATTCAAAGTAGGGCTGATTGAAATTAGGTGTCACTGGTACTAGTATTGGCTGAAGAGGCGTTGTTGGATCAGCTGTAGCGGTCATGTTAGGTTGTGATGCGGAATATTGATCTTGATTATGGCTTGTCGGTTTTGAAAGGTGGGATGCAGGAGTTGTTACGTTCGCAAAAAGCACTTTTTTGGACGTATTCTTCGGGCAGGATTGAAATCGTGGAGGAGACCCAGCTGTTTTCATTATAGGCGCATTTTGATTATTAGATAGTGGTGCATTTGTAGAGTTGGGTGGAACATCGTGGAATGGTGTGATTGTGATTTGTGGAGATGGCTCAACTGAGGGCAAATTCAGCATACTTTGAAAGTTTGCCGGCGCTGTTTTGTTATTTTTTTTTCTTTTCCGAGGGACCATGCTGACATCCGAAGAAGAGCAACCTGACATCTCATCGATTACCAGAGCAGCTTGAGCATATGATGGCATGTTTTTGCGTTTAATTCGGCATTTGAATTTTAACCAGGATTTTCCTGGTGTAGAATTTTCATCACGTAGCAATGTCGCCTGTTCGGTACTGGACTTGACGTTTGGCCACAACAAAATATCTCCTTGAATGGATTTATCCAGCCATTTTTCGGGAACAGCCGAGAGTTCCTTTCTCCCTCCTGCGCTGAGAGTTTGAACGATGGCAAATGACATACCTATTAGGAAAGAGCAACTAATATTATTGCCAATTTTTTTACAATGAATTCTTTTATAAAGAAAGAGAGAACTACTTCTCTCTTTCTTTATGCAGGTATTCCACTAAGACGCCCACGTTAATCAGGAATCAACTCCATGTTACCTTTTGATTACTTAGCAATATGAAACGAAAACTTTTGCAGTGATTTGCTGGATCCGGTTCGACTTGTAAAGTTTATTTTTCATGAAACCTTTGGTGACATTCACTTTGTTTTCATGGTAACCAGTGTTGCTAGGTAATTTAAAGAAAGGTCTGGAAAATTAAAAACGAATAATCTCGTGTTTTGTGAAGAAAAAGAAAGATAAACATAGAACAGTTATAATAAGGGATCGTTAATCAATTATGTCACACTTTTAGGGGGGAGTGGGGGGGGGGGGGTTGGAAACTGTGACGAGTCATACAAAAACAGTTAAGATTCATACAAAAAATGTGACAAACGGGGGAAGGGGAGTTGAAAATGGGCCAAATTTGCGTGACATAATTAATGGAGTTTCCCTAATATCAATCGTCAACAATGAATTTAAAAATGGAAATTGACATTTTGTTGATGCATGACCAAGCAAATATTTTTAACAATAGAAAAATTAGTTTATTTGCAAACAAGGAAATTCTGTTTTCTATCAAGCGATGACGGCAGTAACAATACGCGATATTTTCAGTGTCATTTTAATCATAATACAAATTGTTTGCTATGAATCTACTACGGTATGCTTTTAAAAAATAAAAAATAAATGAAATCTAATGCCATTTACTATTTACTGATGACAAGAATTTAACAATCATTTAGATAAATCTGGTAATATGGCATCCCTGATGGTAACAAGCCCTGAACACTTCAACAGTAGCTGAAACCACAGCCTATTTTTATATATTTCAGATGCCGTAGCGGTTCGTGCTGAAGCTTTCACGCAGGAGGACTGGGTTCAATTCTTCAAGCAGCTCTAATAATATAACATGATCATAAATAATACACTAAATTTACAAAAACATTCATAAATAGTGCAACATATAAGTATGAGAAGATAAGAATATGAGAATTTGATCTGTGCAATAGAGGGCACATTTTTTTTCCAAAAAGTGCCGCACAAGTTCCGCCAGAAGCTGCTTAGAATGCTATGCGATGATGAAACGGGAACTTTCAAGTTCATATAACGACTTAAAAATGAAGCTGCTTAGAATGCTATATATCGACTTCAACCTAGCTGCTTAAGCCATAAAAGGCCATGTTATCCGAACTTTTGGTTACTTGGGCAGTCTATTGATCATCGATAATCAAATCGGAGATATATACATTTAAGCGTTTCTTGGGTAACACAGTTCGAAAAAGTAGTGTAAATTTCTGTTCAGTATGATGCACATAAATGGAGCGTCACATATCATATAAGTTTACATTATATATCATGTAAAGTTCTGAGACATTTCGTGCAATGTAGCAAATATTGTATACAAAAGCCCATTGTTGTAAACAACATTGTTTACAAATTGCTCGGTTGCGTGAAATGAAATACAAGTTTACGTGAATGAATGTTTACATTACTATTAAAATTCAGAATTTTTAACTGTGAAGTTTATATGATGTTTTGATAAATAAAATCTTGTTTTATGTGTTGAACGTTTTTTTTTTATCGAAAATTCATATAAAATTATAAAATAATAAATAATAAAATATAACTTGTACCTTCACCAGACACTGTTTCAACCAATCGCTTAAAGTAATAGTTGTGGAACATACCCATCCAAACCAATGTGCTCGGCAAGAGCTACAAAACCCTTCCATGAAATCAAACTTCGACACCTTCGCTCCATAACCGCACACCGATGCGATGGTTAGGATCAGCTCCTCCGTTCAACCACAGCAGACGATCACCATGCCAATTCGAATTTTGTGGCATGTTGTGGAGGTACCTACCTATCTACGTACCGTGTGGCATCCAAATTGATTCCCATGCTCACTAAAACCCTCCCCGATTTCCCAAAGTGCTCGAACAGATTGCCGTCGCCTAGCAGCATGATGCCTACTTCTTTAGATTGGAAGGCGTTGAGCATCGTTTAAGCCTCCCACAGCTTTTGCTCACGCGGTTGCAATCCCAGGGCATACCTCGCGACCAACTTGAGCTATTCGCTATCCCTTATAGAGCTATTCATATTATTATCTAATTTATATCCGATGGAATCTCCGGAGCAAGGCGCGAATCAGCGTGTGCTTACCACGCTTTTCGGATTGTTGTTGCACGGCTCTTGGGCTGGTACTCATTCACACTGAGCTGACTGAGGCACGTCCAACCTCTGCCCCGTTCGGATCAAGTGTCATTTATTGACCTCGAGGATTCAGCAGCTCGGCAACAGGGGCCACGTTAGTAGAGTCAGAGGCCAACGATCAACAACCTCTCCGACTCCTCGTGACGGCTTGAGGGCTGCTCAAGAAGACGCTTTTTGTTTTCGTTTCCTTTCTTGAAGCCGTCCATCGCGCAGAAACAGCTTATCTTATGCTCAGCTTCCTCAGCGAGCGAGTGACCGACCGAGCGTGCCAGATTACGATAAAGAATTAATGGATAAACAGTGTTCCACGAATGGGGGCCTAAATTTTCGGGTGTTTGGGAACTTCGAGCAGCCAAAATGCGGTGTTCCTCGCGCTAGAATCGAAAAAAAAAATCCGATAAGATTCTATAAGACGTATCCTACACAAGCCACTTCCAATGGGAAGAAAAGTAGATTGTCATAAATTCCAACTATATATAATATATTAACAAGTAAATTTCATACCTTGTTGCCCGGTGAAATTTCCTAAAAAAAATTTTCATCGACTTCCTATGGACAAATTAGGGTGCTGACGAGTTTGCTCGCAACGTGATATGACCATTATAAAAATAAAACTGCTTTAAGCGGAAGTTACACGTTACGTCGTATGAACCATGTTGCCTTCAATTTCATCAATCTCAATCTGCTTTAAGCGGAAGTTACACGTTACGTCGTATGAACCATGTTGCCTTCAATTTCATCAATCTCAATCTCAAATGTATATCCGGTCCAGCTCATTTAACTTTAAATATGTATAACGAAAATGATAACTCGGCTCTGTAAAGTTTATTCGAT